TGCCATCCAAATGAAAAATTTGTCAACGAATTTTTCCATTGACTGCCTGTATGCCTTTTGTAGAAGCCAAGTTCCAATGAATTTCAAATGTATACCTGATTGAAGATGCGAGGATATCATACAACACTGTTGCTCCTTTGGATTCCATGTGCTGCTAGAGTCTGTTCTTAGTTTGAGCTCTTGTATTGGCTCTTGGGACATTTTTGCTAGTCTTGTCAAATTCAATGCCTGTGGTTGTTTTCTAATAGAAAGATACATTAGCATATATATTATCTCTTTCTCTTGGTTATTTTATGTTTCTACCAACAATCCAGCCCCTGGAAAAAGGGCCCCTTTTTCCAATGTCATTGGGAAAAATATTTTTGGTAAAACTGATTGCAGTTTTGTTCTTTTGCGAATCCAAATGATTCTTAAAATTTGATATACTTGATTGGTTTATTAGTAAAATATTCTTCTATAAGAACCTTTGGTATAATTTGTGTTTGCTGTTCACTGCTTGTCTGAATTTATTCAGCTGAGCACTAGTAGATGTTCATATTTTCTCTTTATTGTGGATCTCAGATATTCTATGAGACTGTAAAAACACGTGTTGAAGAATCCTTTGGAGCATGTACAGCTGAAAGAGACCATGATGTTCAAGACAATATGTTATTGTATGAGATGCACAATATAAAAAGAATCCTCATGTCGCAACTGGATGCTTTGACAAGTAAGGGGCTTTACCGCATTGCCATGATCCTTACAGGAGGCTTTGTCAAGTTTGAGAAAACTAGAAAACAAATGAAAATGGTTATTAGGGAATCTCTTTCTAAAGACTTGAAAAGCAAAAATAATTATTGGAAGACAAATATCTTAAAGCAGCTATCTCTACTTCTATATGACCCACAAAATTTCCGGGAGAATTCTGCTAACTTTTTAACTCCCACGCTTCAATCTCATTATGCTGCTACTATCAAGATATTGGCTGGACTCGAGGACTTGCCTTCCCAGGTCCTGCTTTCAATGGACAGGAAGCTTAGAGGTGTCCAAGGAGTTATGCCTCAATTACGTCGCCACAGACAAAATCGGAGTCGAGGCCAGATAATTGACAATGTGAGGAAAATTAGCAAGAAAATGCTTTCCGAACTCAGTAAAGGAGATGAGCTACAGATGCCATTAGCCAAAGCAATGGCTATAGCAGGTTTATCACTAAAGCTAAAACCAGGCTGTCAGAATTCCTCTGATGCAGGCTTTCATCAATTTTCACCTGAAATAAGAAGTTTACAAAGTGAGATAGTGAAAGCAATTTGTTTCCTTAAAACAAAGGTTAGATTCCCAGAGCTGAAAACTTTGCAGCATTTATTGGACCCAAATGCTGATGTACCCAATCGTGGTCTTAGAACAGCAGTTAAGAAAATGTTAATTGATTATCTTTTTGAGTGCAGTGATATGGATATCATTCCAAAGTCTTTATTAGAAGCTCTTGCTATTGTCAACCGGAGTTCTCGTAGTACACCTTATTGGTGCTTCCCAAAAGAGGAAATCGAACAGGAGGTAGATTGTGTCTTGAGTGTGAGTGCTCACACAAAGCAGATTATCTGGGATTTGCTTCCTGACAATGGGCTTGATCAGGACTTCACTGATGCATATATGGAGGAATTAGAAGAAAGTGATGGAGGATCAGATTATGATGATGATAGTGATTATAGTGACGGTGATGCTGAACCAGATCATGAAGCAGAAGGCGTTGGGGAGTCGGTGCCAGTTGATTCTAAGTCAGATGCCCCTGCCACTATGGAGAATGGATCTTCTGCCTACCTTACACCTAAGGACAGGGTTAAAAAAATCTCAAGTGAAGGATCTGGACAAAAGTGTTTTATCAGACTGGGTTCTGATTCCCATGGTATCATTTCTCTCTCACAATCCTTGGGATCAACAGTTCATTGTAGCACCACTAATATGGATATTAGTCAATACCAAGGAGAAAGTCTGGGAAAAGTTTGCTTTTCCATAGCTGATGGGAATAGTTTCTCCCGTTTTCTTACGCCGCATGAAAGGTTTAATCACAACTTGTTTGAGGGACATGAAATTGAACTAAATAATAGAAAGGTTCCAGTATTCTCAAGGGATTTATTTTCAAATAACTTAGTAGATGAAGATATAAAACCCAGCAAGCAAAGTAGACGTAGAAACCAATATGTTGCTATCCAAGAAATTTGTGATGAGACAAGTCTGGTTGCTTATAATGTTATTGGTCACATGTTAGAGAAATTTGCTAAGGAAGAAGAATTAGATTTAGACTGTAATGACAGTTCATATCTCAGAGGCAACTCATCAATTCAAGAACATGCCAGTGGTATGTAATCCATCTTTAATGATTATTTTTAAAAATTTTATATAATGTCAATACAAGGTGAGTGATATCATTTTCTTTGCATCATTGAATGGATGTTTAGATCCTTTATATTTTAATATTTATTTTTATAGGGTTTATCTTAATCATGTTTAAAGTTACATATTTATGAATTAGTTTGTTTGATTCCTGTTTTAGAGATGCAAATTGAAGTGGATGGAACCAACAACAAATGTCAACATGGATATTCTGTTTGTCTTGTAAACTAACCATTGGATCTTAGAATTTGATGTGCGGCTTCATTTTATGCTTTTTTTTTTTCTCTCTAAATCTAATTGTATTTTACTTGATGAAGTAGGACTTAGTTTTCTGTAACACTTCAACACGTACATTTATTTTTCCAGTAATCATAATTGCAATGCAAATTGTTAATCCTACTTCCCATCTGAATGAGCAGTTAAATCAGAAAGTCAAACTTCACCTGAAGAGGATGCGAGTAGTTCTGACGTTCAAATGGTTGAAGAGCTAGTACCTTTCCTTCCAAAGAGGTTCTTTTCTTTACACATTTAGATTGCTTAAAAGTTTGATTGTTCTTATGTCTGTTTTTATGAAAGTGCTTAACGCTCCTCCCTTCCCAAAGGAATAACTCCGTCACATTTGACAGTCTTATCAATGTGTTTGGTTAGTATGCTTTGCACTGTCGATATAGTAGTTTGAACTGAGTGTTAAAAAATTTAGGTCTTGTTTGGTACGGAGTTTAAAACATTCATGCATGTACATTGTACATTTGCATAGTTCATTTACCCAACTAAACATATTAAAGTTCATAAATGTTGACTGTTGTTTTATGTATGCAGTGGAATAAAAAAGTTGAAGAAATTATTGGGTGCATAACTGCCAAGTAATCAACAAAATTGTTTCCTTAACATCTGGGTTTGACTGGGGAATGTGAGCTGCTGATTAAGTAGCCCGAACCGAAAAATCGTGGAATTTCACCTTGTGCGGTATGTCCACTAACCAAAAACTAGAACCTTGGAAGCCCAATGTCAATTTCTTACTCGTTGATTCAAGTGGTGTCTAATTTTTGCAGGTGTTATTCATGTAAAAGATGGCTGAAAATTGTTTAAACAAGCCATCCGAAGGAGTAGCCATTATTGCTGGAGCTGCATAGAGATGTGGAAGCCAGCAATTGTAATCAATGTTTTAAAAACCGACATGGGACAAAACCCCAGCAAGCTGGCTGGGTCCCGATTCGATCGGTTTAATCAGTTAAACTAGCTAGTTCAATTGGTGATGTCATCATGATGATGTCAGCAATGTTATTGTTCACAGAATGCAAAATTCCATAATTTGGATCCAAATCATAAACTCTTGAATAAAAAGTCATCAGCAAGGCATCATCAAACATTATTACATCAATAATACAATAAATTACAAATCAAAATAACAAAATGAGCAACATTTTTTTTTTCTTTGTTTGTTGGTTTGTATTACCTACTTGTTCAGTGTAATATCTTCAATACTCAAATCAAGTGTTGATTGACCAAAAGAAAATTAAATGCTTGTTGCCCCACGAATGTACGTCAGTAAGGCAATAGTTACTTAGTGTTGGTGAAGATGAGTTAGTCGTTGATTGGCGGAGAGACTTAGTGTTGGTGAAGATGAGCTATTGTTGATTGTCGGAGAGGTGGAGCTTGACTGTGAAGTGTGAACTATGAAGAGATGACATCAAGCAAATGTGAGGAAGAGGCGACAGTTCTTGGGCAAGACGAAGAGGAGATCGACGGTGTAGCTTCGAGATCGACGATGAACACAGTAGATCGACGGTGAAAAAGAATGAAGACTGAAGAGTGAAGAGAGGATAGAGAAGATTGCAAAATGGGAGGAGAGTCTTGGTATCCCAGCTGACGACAAGCATAGCAGTTCATTATGAAGGTTGAAGAGACAAAATCGACGGTGAAGGGGAGAGTGGAGACTCCAGTGGAAGATTTTCAAAGTTCAAACCAAAAGTCAGGGAAATGGTGTAAAAATGGGCGAAATGGTTGATATTTGGGGGTTTAAGGGATATGGGTTTTAATTTTAATTTTTTAAAGGTGACCTAGTTTTTGTTAAAATAACAGTTGGACTGACGGGTGCTACAATACATCAGTCTAACCGCGAGTGTAACTAGTCAGTCTTATATTATTGGTTATTAGCCTCACCTGACCTCGCTCATTGATCAGGTTCTAGTTGAACCGATTGAACCAGTCGAGTCGGGTTTTAAAACATTGATTGTAATATAACTTCTTCCACATTTATTATATCATCTTCATTGATGTATGTAGTAATGTAGATATTCATTCATTCATTATGCAATTATTATTTATTCGAGACCATATGCATCCTTTTGAAGTTCAAACCATCTTTCTTCCCCTGGGATTACATTGAAATTATGGTTTTGAGTCAGAGATATTACAAGAATATTATTTGTGAAAACTAAATTGCTTGCAGCCTGTCTTATTAGTGTGTTCATCAGTATATCTCCCCCTATTTTCATCATAAATACAAAATACTTCCTGATGATTCTTAGATTGATCCGAAAGTCTCCTTTCTTGAGGGCAGATTTTTACATCATTGGATAAAATCTAGAAGGGTTTTCTTGGTGCACTGAACCAAAAATCAAAGTAGATTTATCATATCAAAGCTTATACCATATGATCTCATATATATCCACGGGGAAAACGGATTAATGAATACAAAAAAGGTTTAACTTTCAGGCTAGATATGCACTGAAGCGATCTATACGCTAGACATTACATTAGATACATAATCATGTCATGTTCAGAACATGTTGGCAGTGTAACTATGTTTCTTTCACTGAGCTGATTACTCAATTACTCTTATAGGGTTGATTCATCGTGCTAAACAAGTATGGTCGATTCATTTACTAGGATCCTTTCCCCAAACACTGTCCCAAGATTCACCTGGGGCAGCCTTTGGTCCCTTGATGAAGCTTGGATTTGCATGCATGTCATTAGGTCCAGGGAGAGGGAGTCCATTAGGACCTGGTGGGCAAACCTTTCTTTGCTTTCGTTTGATTCCCAGTATTCTCAGTACAAATCTAGCTAGTTCTCCGTATAATGAGCCTGTGCGATCAAAAAGCTGCAGCAAAATGACATAGATTAATCCGGGAGCTTTTCAGAAAGTCCTGATAATAATGGAGATAGCAAGAAAATATATTGTAATGGTGTCTCCATTGTGCACAAGTGATACTGAAGAAACATGAAAATGAAGCTAAAACAACCACAAGGCCAGTGAGTACGAAGTCAATGCTGTAGAAGCTGCCATAGCTATGACTTGAACTAATGGCAAGCTGTCAACATAAAGAACAACTGGGCATATGAAAGCAATCTTTGCCGTCTTTATGGCCCTCTAGTTCCTCAGGAAGCCAATTCCATCATTTTCAATTAAACATAACCAAAAGATATACAAGGAAACAAAAAGGGGAGAATACCTGAAGAAGTGCTGTCATGAACATGTTGAAGGCCTCCGTATTTTCATAAATAAGGATTGAGATCCGGCCGAAAACATTTACCACACCTTGCATCTGCCATACAGAAAAAAAAAAAAAAAAAAAAACTGTGAATTACTGATAGCACAACAGAAAGAAAACCCCACAAATAATTAATACATGAAGCATCCACAGATATATAGTGGTCCGCAGACTCTTTAGAGAAAATTTCAACACATTGAAACAAGATCTCACAGCCCATTCTAATAACCAATATCTTTCTGTTCCTCTTCATAAATTAGTGATTGCATAGAAGAAAAGTTAACCAAGCGCAAGCAACTAAGAACAGTGAAGGCATTGGTCAGAAGCAAACTATGGTGACCAGATGAGTAGTGGTGAGAAACACTCGATTCTGTGAAGGCAAGGGCTATATATATTGGGGAGTAATGCTACCCTCATGACCTATTCTCACAAACTTTCTCTCACAACCTCGACATGGCAGCTCGCAATTGGTCAGCCGTAATTTATCAGGTGGGATCTATTACGAGCTGACCAATTGCAAGCTGCTACATCGGGGTTATGAGAGAAAGTTTGTAAGAAGAGGTTGTGGGTATAGCATTTTCCATATATTAGGTAGTCAAGTTCACAAAAGTTCCAATTACAGGACAGCGGTTCATTGTTCAGTACTTCACATATTACTTCACATCTATTATTTGTTAAATAATTTGGTGATTTCACATAACTGGGACTGATAACCTTACCACTCGAAGAAGTGAGATCCAAAACCCAGGAGGGGATGAAGGACCACCATGTGGATTGTTTGGATCTTGAACACCATAAGGACCACCCATGCCCACTCCATAACCACCCATCGGACCTCCAAAACCACCATTATACATTCCGCCCCCATACATCCCAGATCCATTAAGACCACCATAACCTCCCCTGTACATGCTGTTACCATACATTCCTCCTCCAAGACCACCGTATGAACCATACATTCCAGAACCTAAGCCAGAATTATAGTTCAAAGCAGACCCATAACCTGCGTTAGGAAGGAAACAAAAATTAATAAATGAATTCAATGAAAAAAGAAAAGGAGCCACTCAATCTCTTTACATCAATTTGCAACACAATGATAATTATCATCTTTAAGATAAGCTTCTTTAATTAACCTCAGATGGCACCTATTCAAAGCCAGAGGTAGCGAGTCCTCTGCACACCAGTAATTATAAGAATTCTTTTCTTTCAAACTAAAGATTCATATTTACCTCCGTAGCTGTTACTCCCATAGCTTTGTTCCCAAGGCCTAGATGGAAGAGGTCTACCAAGAGCATTTCTATTAACAGTGGCAGTCCTATCGGAAGTTGAAACAATTTCCCCAGGATTTGCAGTTCCTGAAGACTCAACTACATCACTTGTATTGCCAGCTGATGGGGGTTTAAAAGGTGTAGGCCCAGAAGCAGCACCTTCCCGATCCCATGGTTTGGGGAGGACTATTAGCTGCAAAATCAAATCACATAATTCATTTCAAAATCCAAGTGGAAATTGAAAGAAAAAAAAAAAAAAAGCAACTTCGAGTACTTCAAATCACAAATCTCGGCAACATGACAACCATAAAAATGCATGACTAATTAATATAGCCAAAATACTAGTAAAACCTTAAGCACTGCATTCATTAAACTGGAATCAGAGCTATGAAATTGGAATTCAAGAAACAGAAAATGGGTTCCAGAACTTCCATTTTCCGATGATTAGATCAATTCATGTTCCAGAACACACCTTACAACTTATATCAGCAAACTGAAAAAAAAAAAAAAAAAAAAAAGGGAATAATAATAATCTAATAACCATGAAAAAATCTCAGTCCAACAAAGGACATGAACTGTCACAATATATCTAACCCAGAAAAATTAAAAATATATAAAATATAATCAAATGAACTTTAAACGGTAACATACTTCACCTTTTATCTATGATTTATTAATTAATGCCAGCAATAGCATTTGTAACATGAAATCCAACCACTTTCATCACTCTTCATCTATCATCCAAAAAAAAAAAAAAATCTGAAAGAAACAACGATTCGATAATTTTTTTTTTTTTTAAATGACTTTATCAGCGACTAATAAGAGTTCAGAATAAAAATTAAAAAAAAAACAGACATTCCCACAGTTTCTCAACTGCCAAACAGAGCCTAAATTAGAATTCCTCCGAGAATGATCAATGAAATTCAACAAATCAAAGAAGCAAAACCAGAAACTACATACATCAGCAAACTCCTAAAAAAAAACGATTACACTAATTTCTTCTTAAAAATAGATTTATGGATTTAAGTAATGAACTCGACAGGAGAACTAATTTTAATTAATTATTTCTGAATGAACCTGGTGGTGAGACGGTGTATTAGATTCCATAGGAGGTAGAGTTGCAGAGAAACGCCATCCCAATTTCGAGAGAATTAATAAAACGACGACGCGAATACCGGAAGCCTCGAACTTTCCTTTTTTTTTTTTGGTTTTTGGTTTTTTTGTAAAGGAAGGATCCTAGCAATATGGCGCGAGCGTGTTGGCTCCACTTTTGCGTCAACGGCTTAAATATTCATAAAAGAGTTTATGATATACAGTAATAATTAAATTCTCCTCGGTTTAAAAAATAACAAAAAATTATATGCTGTCAAGTTCTAAATGTTAAAATAAATGATAAAGAATAATTTAGGGTCCATTTGTTTGGTTATTTTGGACGAGATTTTAAGAATAATATTAGGTAGTTGAATAGGGTAAGTATTACGAGGTAAAATTTAAAATTTAACAAAAAAACTCCTAAGTTTACTAATTTAACTAAACACCCCAATGTATATAAATTTTGTAAAATGACAAAAATACCCCACCCACCCATAGTACCAGATTTCGGCCACCACCGTCGGAATCTGGTCGGAATCTGGCGTTACGATGCAGACCAATCGGATCTAGCCTTATGTGCGTCGATCTTGCCTTTTTCGGCCAGATCGGTGAATTAACGGTCAATTCCGATCGTTTGTAGGCTGTTATGACAGATTCCAGCTATCACCTACGGTGATTGTCAGAATCTGATAACTATGGGTGAATGGGGGTATTTTTGTTAATTTTTAAACTTTTTTTGGGGATATTATAAAATTAATAAACTTAAGGGGTTTAAATATACTAATATTTCCTAAATAATTTAACAAACAAATCTTTTTGGAATATAGATAAGAATATTAAACCAAACACACCCTTAATAATATTTACAAACTTACAACAGGGTAAATTTTATCGATAGGGGGGTTTTTACTATTTCTAACCTTGTGTGTTTGGTTTTCTTGTAGTGAACACTTTCTGCTGGTTTTAGAAATGCGATCGTAATCCCCATTCTTTACGGACCATTTGATTATTCTATTTAAGTTTGAAACAAATCATATTTTTACTATTCATCCAAATTCAATCAATCTAACATCTTAAATCCACCAACAATGTTAAGATTATCTTGTATTAAATGAATTTCCTTTTAAGAAAAACAAAGTTTCTTTGGAACGATCATTAATGATGTTATAATAAACATATATTTATTTTCATCCTCACAGTACTGAGATCAATATTATTCTCCTCATTGACCCTCGAACCATGATCCAAAGGTTGATCGAACCATAGTCCACCCTCAAATCGTGATTCAAAGGTTGACCGAACCATGATCCAAGGATTTGAAGGAAAGAGTTTAACACTGTTCACTACCCTCAGTATTGTGACAATCTCTCTACCAACTAAAGCAAGGGAATCAACAGCTTCAAGAGATACAACTTCATTCTTATCAAAATTAATATGTAAATCTCTATACAGACATCTATTCTACAACTGTTGCTATGTCTAACATATACAGACCTATTTACATTGACATTTATGATCTATATCATCTATGCTTCAGACTTCTTGCAGTGAACGATGATTCAACGATGCAGAGCTGTTCTTTGGAGTCTAGACTAACACTTAGACCAAAGGACAGAGATGCTTCATTTCATGAGAGTACTGCAAAAACTAGGAAGGAAGGTGTAAGTTTACAACTTTTTGGGAAGAACATCACCTTGTATGGAAGCTGGGGAAAAAGATCGGCATGGTGTTGGGCGTAGACTATGAACCGCCTACCAAAAAGCAATTGCTACTGCCAGAGCTGCCAACAGCACTAGAAAGATCACGAACAAGGAACTTCACACTTCGTGTGCCGATGGATTCCATTATTTCAAGACACTCCTGCAAATCCAAGTCACTGACCAACATCACCCATTCCTCTTCATCATCTAGATACTTGAGCTGGAAGGTACCATTTTGCAGTTTGAGTCTGCTTGCCACTTCTTCGTACAGTTGTAAACACCCTGCAGTAGGCTCAAACTTGAATCGGATGATATCTTCTTTGTAAGTAGCTTTCACGGTAATTTTTGTGCCACTGTCACCGCAACTTGGTTGAACTTTCGATTGCTTCCCCTCTTCAAAGCTTGGGGAGCTTGATGAACTACCATGCACCAATGAACCGTTTGATGAGTCTGTCATGCCTGAAGAAGTAGGTTGGTTCTGTTCAATCATTCCATCATAACCCTCCATTTTAGTATCCATCTCCTCTGCAACAGCCAAGGAGCTGAAGCATTGAGACACATATTGGCAGTCGGAATTCTCTAATTTCAACCCTTCCTTGTTCAGAGCCCAATTTTTTCCTTTTGCAAAACAAGAACCCATGGAGCCATTTTCAGGAGTAACCCAAGCTGCAGCACCAAGCTTAGCTGGCTGAAATTGTCCGGCATCTATTCCGCCCAACATGGAGTCTTCAGTACAATCAATCAGGAAAACGTTTGATCTATGTACATCTCCCTCGGAGCTATTTGGAATGATCATGCTCCTGTCAGGGCCTACTTGGTTTTTGTCCGAACTGCATCCATCTTCCTCCTGTTTAACAGCAGACTTTTCCTCATCCATACAAAGGGCTGGAGGTATTGATGCTGCATCTTGGATTATTGGCTCAGGGTTCTTGACAGGCAGGTTTTTGTCGGGGAAGAGAATTTTTTTCCGAGCATCAAATTCTTGAATGATCGAGCCTGCTGCCACAAACCTACCTGTGGTTGGGTCAAACTTTAATCCACCTTCCATCCCCTGAACAGAGTCAAGCACAGTTTGTATTTTCTTTAATGAACGGTTCACTTTGTTTATCTTGCGGGATGGCCATCTAGAGATCCCATGTTGTCTGCATATCCTTTTCAGTGTGGTCGGGCAGACTGCAAGAGAAAAAGAAATTTAAAAGTTAAAGAATACCAGCCCTCAATTCTCTTCCATATTTCAAAGACTTCAATGTGATCTACCTACACAATTGCAAACTGGTTCAACCTTTCAATATTTTTCAAACATTTGGTATAATATCCCTCAATACAAGTACATTCCAAAAGAAATATATGAATTTAATCCTATTTCAGTTTAAGTCCAAGCAAAGGCTTTTTAATGGCTCTCCGAAAAAACCAGACATATGCACTTTAATGTGGTGGTCAAGATCAAAGATGGAATGACAATTTAAAATCCAATAACATTAATGATACGCAAGACCATGCAACATGAAGTCTCACCACCAATGCTTTTTGCAGCATCCTTAAGACTCCCAGAAAAGTATTGCTGAAGAACACCCAAGCTCACATTTTTCTCCGCCGTACTTCTCTTCTTCTCTGAATGTCTTCGTAGTCCACTCATCACCTAGAAGAAATGTAAAAACATAAGTTCAATCCTAAAATTTCATTTAAATAATGCACCAAAAAGTCACTTCTTACATTTTGATATTTTCTATTATATGGTTTTTGGCAGATGTCTCTTTAGACCCAGAGATTCTCATATTCAATATAAATGCAAAGGAGACAGCCATTATTAACCAGATACAATCCCGGAACAGAGGTTTCATCTCCTGGATATTTTTAAGACTCAAATGATTACTTAACATCACACAGTTTCCCTTCATTAATTGCTTACAGATCTAAGGCATTTTCTAAAGGCTTCTTCTGCCAAAAAATCATGGAAAATTAAAACAAATTCGAACCTGTCTTATGCTTTATCAATTGAACCTTCCACATAACACAGAACAGACAACATAAAACAGACCAATGCTGGCCCTTGTTCAAGTTCAAGTGATATCTACGAACATATCAAAATCAACAATGTCGCAAACTGTTCAACGACAATACCTGTTCACGAGGACCATCTGATCCTGTTCCATCACTTTTAGAATTAGATACATTCGAGGGCATCCGGTCAATTGAGTTGAAGTCACTTTCTGATAATGCAGTCTGAGAACTCCTCGGCATTGACAATGGTGAAAAACTTGGAACTGTTCCCTTCTGAAACCCGACTTTAGAGCCTTCATTCCCATCGATTTCTCCCTGTGTAACCGTTCTCAAACTCTTACAGATTCTCTGCATAGTACCTGAAAGGTTGTTCAACAAGAGTTGCTGCTCTGAACTCCCTTTCATATTGACAGGGAGGAAGAACTCAAGTATATAATCGTCATCACCAGTGTAGGTTCTTCCAATTTCTTTTTTTTTTTCAAACGACTTTATCAGCGACTAATAAGAACTAAGATAGAACAGTTAAAAACACATTTTCTCAACTTCCAAACAGAGCCTAAATTCGAATTATCCTCCGAGAATGATCAATGAAATTCGACAAATCAAAGAAGCAAAACCAAAAACTACATACATCAGCAAACTCCTAAACAAAACAATTACATTTATTTCTTCTTAAAAATACATTTATGGATTTAAGTAATGAACCTGCTGGTGGAAATGGTGTATTGGATTCCGTAGGAGTTAGAGTTGCAGAGAAACGACATTCTTTCAAGAGAATTAATAAAACGACGACGCGAATACCGGAAGGCAAGCAACTAATTTTTAAATTTTGATTTTTGCCCTTCATGTAAATCGACCATCCTGCCCTTCTTCAGAACCGATTTTCCTAACGGAATATGGGTGGGGAAGTGTCATTTTTAAACTTAACAGGTCGGAAAAGGTCATTTTGCCAAACCTTGGGTGGGAAAATGTCGTTCTCCCTTAAAGAAACTATGAATATAATTTGTGCCCAAAAGGATTTTGTAGTTGGTTAGAAAAAATCCCTTATACTAACCTTATATATTATATTAAATTTATAGTTGGTGATGTGATTTTTACCTTGATTAATTAGATCTATGATAAAATATAATAAAGATTGAATACCAATAGATACATACCATTATTCCAAGCTAAGCTAAGTACTTAATATCAATCAAATCTTAATTACTCACTCAATCATGGGGGTAAAACTCTTACCATCAACCTCAAATGGTTGGTCTAACAGCTAAGAATGTTTACTCACTTTATTTACTTCCTAGGTTTAAACTTTAGGACCACCTGCCACATTTATGATTTATTTTGGAACATTGGATTTGTAGATGTAGGATATTAAGATAAATAAAATTACATTTAGGTTTTTTTTTCCTTTGTTAACTAATGTGTTTAGATTAACTTACGTTTACCTCGATTAATCCTTAAAGAAAGCTATCCCACAACAATTCACTGCCGTGGCATCCTACATTAATCATAGGTAAAAGTACTATACTACATTTAGGTTATTTCATTTGTCCTTGATAGATAGTCAACTCTTAAATGCTTCGACAACTTTAAAAAAAATATTGAAAATCCCCTTCAGTATATGGGTTTTTTTTAATATTTGTAAGGGATAATATTTTTGAAAAAGTTTTTGGTAATTGTATATTATAATTAACCTTACTTTTATTATATTCAAATTATTTATTTATATATGATATGCCATATTCTTGAGCCCACGTAGTGGACCAAGTGCCATTTCTATAATTGACTTAATTTCACTATCAAACAATCAAATTGAGGCTTTTAATCAACAAATGGGTATATACAAAAGCATCTTCCATATAATCCATGAATCACGTTCTGCCATTACCATTATTTCATAATATACTATTTTAGTTTCTATATATTTAAATGTAGCGTTTGCTTTGTTACCACAGCATTGTTAAAATGTAAAAGTTGGACCAATAATCCATGCCACATATGCGTAATTATTTTAATATGATAATTTTTGTATAAATATATACGTAGTTCCGGTTCTAGCAGAAGAGGATTTATTTTAATATAATTTTTGGTAAATCACGGTCAGTATTGACAAGCCCAACAAAATGTTTAACGCTGAATTCTATGCTAGGCCTTCTTGGCTAAGCCTCTGACTAAATAAAATAGGCTTGAGCCAATGAGCCATCGAGTCACTTTCACACCACACGCTCGACGTACCCAATTTTGTTTCTCTGTGAAAAACTCCTTTAAATATTCATTTAATCTAATAATTTTATTATTTTCAAATAATAAAAATTATTTTTGAGGCGACAAGTATCTATCACCCGTCACACTTGATCCAATCCAAGGGACACCTAGATTCAGTCAAAACTCAGTAATTTCCCTTACCTCGTCTTTTTCTTCAGAGCTTTAGGTAGTACTTCATGACGTGTCGAGAAATGTTTAGATCTTAGTATAAAGATTGTTTTTAATATTGGACACGTGTCATTGCTTTGAAATAATCTCTTAAGTGCGGTGGTAATCTATGAATAGTTTAAAAAATTATGCCTTGGGACTTTGAATAAAGCTGGGCCGAGTTCATCTATGAATATAATTCCCAAAGGTAATCTCATATCCCAGCCATAGGAGTTTTTTCTTTGTAAGTCCTTCTCTCGTCTGCCAAAATCTGTGTTCCCTTCCTCCACAGCTTCTCTTACAGGTACGCTAGTAATTTCACAATTTTTTTTTTTCTTTTCCTAGTTAATATATCCAATCAATATTAATTCTCTGAGCCATATATAACTCTTATATCTTTTAAATGAGTAAAGGACTTTTTCCCACCCCAAGTTTGCATTAATGACACTTTTCTATCCAAAAAGTTTCAAAATATCACTTTTCCACCCAAAATACATTTCACTTTCTCAGTCGGTGTTCGGCGAGTTACCAAAAGTCATAGTAAGAGGAGTTTTATAGAAATGAGGCTGGTGAATCGAATTGTGGTGATCGATTGAATATTCACCATAAAAAATCAGTTAAGAATATGAAAACTTAGCTTTGTGTTGGCTGGCAATTGATGAGAAATCAGATGCCAGAGTAAGATGAGTTTTGTAAAGAGGAGACCGGAGGTTCAAATAGTGGTGACAGAAAGAATTTTCGCAGCTGGAATCGGCTTTGGGTAGTAACAGAATACTAACTTTGGGTGGGAAAGTAGTATTTTGAAACTTTTTGAGTTAAAAAGTGTTATTAAGGCAAACCTTGAGTGGGAAAAATCGCTTACTCTTTTTAAAATTTTGATTTCAATGAATTATTGTGGTATAATATGGATGTGTCTTTTGAGATAAAATATACATAAACCAATTAAATTGGGCATGTTTCAGGAATCAGACTTCTCTCGAGAAGGTTGCTAATTGCTTAGAACGATTCATTGATTACTTGGCCCAAATTGTATCGATGAACATGGAAAGAGTCTCTTCTTATAATCCTAATTGTAAATACGATGTCTTTCTAAGTTTCAGAGGTGAAGACACTCGAAGGAGTTTCACTGATCATCTTTATTATGCTTTAAATAAAAAGAAAATTAAGGCATTTAGAGATGACAAAGAGCTTAAGACTTACCTATTTTAATATGAGTACGATTTATAATTGAAAATAATTATAATTAAAAAGAGCTTAGAAAAAGTTTGGTAGCCTCAGAACATTGAAATCTTTTGTAATTTAGAATATTTAATGTAAATTTTATCTACAAAATAGCCAACATAATTATGCATAAGTGCCACGCTCATGATCATCCTTCGCACATACATATTCTATTCTCCCTCAATGGACACAGAATCTTAGGCTTATTTTAGAATCCGAAAGAAAGTAGAGAACGAATCAAATTTCAGGAACGTTTCAATCCCACCATCAAAGACGTTATAAGGCATTCAATCGATCCTTGTTGACCTTTTGTAATATTGATAATAAGGCAAAGCATTGAGGCGATGGAATCTGACTTTTTTGTCTAAATATGTGTAATCAAACTATAGAATGAAGAAAGGTTCGGCGTGCAATTTAATAATGAAACTTCGGTCTAAGGTTCGCCGAAAGCATTCTCCCCACTCAAAATATATTATATTAAATTTATAGTTGGTGATGTGATTTTCACCTTGATTAATAAGATCTATGATAAAATATAATCAAGATTGAATACCAATAGATACATACCATTATTCCAAGCTAAGCTAAGTATTTAATATCAATCAAATCTTAATTACTCACTCAATTGTGAGGGTAAAGCTCTTACCATCAACCCCAAAGGATTGGTCTAACGGCCAAGAATGTTTGCTCACTTCATTTACTTCCCAAGTTCAAACTTTAGGACCACCTATCACATTTATGACTTATTTTGAAACATTGGGTTTGTAGATATAGGGTATTCAATAGATCCTGGAGATTAGTCGAGAGTTTATAGGGTATTCAATGGGCCACAGGGATTAATCGAAGTACATGCAAGTTGGCCGAACACCCCGTCATCCAACAAAAAAAAAAAAAAAAAAATCTTACTATCTTAAATTTTTGATTTTATGAAATTGAAAAAGGTTAAGTTTATGACTTAATCCTTAAAAAAAAGGTGTTAGACAAGGAATTACGCCCATCAGATGATCGATCTTCACCATCATGTGCTCATATTGCAAATAATACTTGTCGAAAACGATAGTTATCTCTATTGAGTTGTGGTGAGATTATTTTTCTCAGGATTGTTTGGTAGTGAAGAAAACTACAGAATTGTTTGCCATCGACGCTATTCAATATGGCCATCATACGAACTTAACAAGAAAGAATTGATTCAAGAGGAATAAGCTGAGCTTATACATTAAGAACCAGTAGGTGATATATAGGTATACAAGCGTAAAATCTACCGAAGAATATGGACAACAACAACCTGATTTTTAACAATTTAAAGCTTTACTCAACATTATTACTAGGTAACCTTAAATAATAGATATGTGAACAGACTCAGGGTCTTTGTTTTTTCTTTTTCTCAAACTTATATATTGAGACATAGTCAGCTAATAGATGTATTCAACTTTCATACAAAAGAAGAAATGCCACCTTACATAACAGCTAACAACTCTATTTATCTACTGACGCTGCTTTTAAACTTTGTTAACCAACCGCTTCATTTATTATTCCATAATAGAACTATTTAACTTAATAGAAGGGAAGAAGATAGAATTACGTTTTGAATATGAGTAGATTTATAATTGAAATAATTATAATTAAAAGCTTAGAAAAAGTTTTGGTAGCCTCAGAACCATTGAAATCTTTGTAATTTAAGAATATTTAATGTAAATTTATCTACAAAATAGCCAACATAAATTGCATAGAGTGGCACACGCTCATGATCATCCTTCGCACAGTACATATTCATTTCTCCCATCAATGGACACAGAATCTTAAGGCTTATTTTAAGAATCCGAAAGAAGTAGAGAACGAATCAAATTTCAGGAACGTTCAATTCTCCATCAAAGACGTAAAGGCAGTCAAATCGAATCCTTTTGACCTTTTGTAATATGTAATAAGGCAAAGCATAATGAGGCGATGAATCTGAACTTTTTTGTCTAAATATGTGTAATCAAAACTATAGAATGAAAGAAAGGTTCGGCGTGCAATTTGAATAATGAAACTTCGGTCTAAGGTTCGCCGAAAGCATTCTCCCACTCAAATGAATAATATCTCTAGGTGCTGTGTAAGGTGATAAAAGGCATCGCGACGTTTAAAAAATTATGCCTTGGGACTTTGAATAAACTGGGCCGAGTTCATTTAGGTAACCTCAACCCAGCCATAGGAGTTTTTTCTTTGTAAGTCCTCTCTCGTCTGCCAAAATCTGTGTTCCCTTCCTCCACAGCTTCTCTTACAGGTACGCTGTAATTTCAATTTTTTTTTTCTTTTTTTCCTAATTATTATCCAATCATATTAATTCTCTGAGCCATATTAACTCTTATATCTTTTAAATGAGTAAGGACTTTTTCCCACCAAAGTTTGCATTAGACACTTTCCACCAAAAGTTCAAAATCACTTTTCCACCCAAATATACATTCATCATTCATCTTCTCAGCGGTGTTCGGGAGTTACCAAAAGTCTGTAAAGGGGTTTTGTAATGAGGCTGTGGATCGAATGTGGTGACTATTGAATATTCACCATAAAAAATCAGTAAGAATATGAAACCTTAGCTTGTGTTGGCTGGCATTGATGAAAAATCGAGTGCCGGATGAGATAGTTTTGTAAGAGGAGACCGGAGGTTAAATAGTGGTGAAGAAAATTTCGCAGCTGGAATCGCTTTGGTAGTAAGAATACTACATTGGTGGGAAAGTAGTATTTTGAAACTTTTTAAGTAAAGTGTTTTAAGGCAAACCTTGAGTGGGAAAAATCGTTACTCTTTTTAATTTTTGATTTCAAGAATTATGTGGTATAATATGGTGTGTCTTTTGAATAAAATAACATAAACCAATTAAATTGGCATGTTTCAGGAATCAGACTTTATCCGAGAAGTTGCTAGTTGCTTAGAAGATTCATTGATTACTTGGCCCAATGATACATGGAAAGATTCTCTTCTTAAATCCAATTGTAAATACGATGTCTTCTAAGTTTCAAGAAGACACTCGAGAGTTTCACTGATCATCTTTATTATGCTTTAAATAAAAGAAAATTAAGAGCATTAAGATGACAAAGAACTTAAGAGAGGATATCCCATCAGACCAGAACTCCTTCAAGCAATTGAAGAATCAAAAATTTCAATTATCATCCTCTCGCAAAACTATGCTTTTTCCACTTGGTGTTTGGATGAACTTACCAAGATTGTTCAATGCATGGATTCTTGGGGACATATGGTGATTCCAATTTTTTATGATGTGGATCCATCAGTAGTAAGAAAACAAATCGGAAACTTTAATGAAGCCTTTGCAGGACATGAAGATACTTTCAAGGAGGATGTGGGAAAGGTCCAAACATGGAGGAGAGCCTTAACAAAGGTGGCCAATCTATGTGGATGGGATGCAAAGAACAGGTTATAATTATTTCCTCTTCTTCATATTAGATATTTTAATTACATGAATCGCGTGGGGATTAATAAAAATTCCCCATACTTTAGGAGTTCTAGTTTTATTAATTTTAAATTGTTTAATTGATATTATAATTATATTTTATTAATATATATAATTCTCTAGTCAAGACATCCTGATATAAATTTATTAGGAAATAACCGTTGTAAATACCTTAGATCAACCACTTAGGGAAAGAAATAGGAGATAAACAAAATGGAAAAAATTTCTAGATCAATGTCTACTTCCAGTTTGAATACCAGAGATGAACAAATTGTTCATCAAGAAGATATTTGTATAAATCAAAATGACAACATAATTGAAACAAATTAAGCTTGTATACAAAAATATAAATAGGTCATAAGACCTCAAGATTTAGAAAACATTTTGATAAATTGAACATTCCCAAAATTTCTGTAATAGATGGTTACGAAGAAGAAAAATTATCAAGTCTCGATAGAGTAAACCCCTTAAACAAATCAAAATACATAATTAAAACAGAATAAAAGACTTTTAAGGTAAACAATTCAACTCAAATAACTAGGTTAATATCCAATGAAATGGTTGAAAAATACAAAAAGAATTATAATTATCTTCATATAAGATTAGACCAAATAAGAATCAAACCTTTAAGCATTGAAGGCCTGGACACTACTATCTTTGCTTGTTTAAGAGATTAAAGATGGCCAAGATTTAGAGATTCTCTGCTAGGAACAATAAAATCTAGTCTGTCTTATGGACTAATTTATTTCAATTGTTATCCTGATTTCACAATCTATTTAGATGACCAAAATATACTAGATATTTTAACTTTGAATATTAAAATGTTTGATTATGAGTTAAAACCAAGAACCACTTCTATAACAGCCATTTATAGGATCCAATACAAAGTAATGCAATCTGCTTTTGAAACTAGGGTCATTAATCATGACTAAAAAGGCCACACAGTGTTGTTTCAAACTGATTTAACAAGATCACACATAATATTTCCTAAAACAATAAGTTGGGATAAAATTACTTTACCAGACGATTGAGGATTAGCAAATGCAGTCATATCTTTAAAAATGAGAATTCCCAAACCTTTAACCCAACCAATCTAAAATACAGAGATTGAAAACTTAACTAAAAATTCTCATGGAAGCGTTCGGATTAGGTTTAATGGGTCTCCAAGTATAAGTTTTGATTACTCACACTTGCCCTCATCCAGATTAAATCCCAAAGAAGATTTTCTTGTTCAGTAAGAGATTCCCCTAGGCCTACCCAAATTAAAACAAATATTCAGGGAATAAATAATTCCTCAACAATACCACAATCTTATTATTCAATTCAAATACCTTTCCAACAAGATGGGGAAGAGACATCACAAAGAATGTCTCCAACCTATTCCCAAATAACAGATTTGTCAGAATTAAACATGATTGAAAAATTTGAAATAGATAAAATCTTCTTAAGAAAGGATTTTTATTTGAAAGAAAATCAAGAATTAAGGGAAAAATTCTTTAAAACCTTTAATAAAAAATAAAGGAATGCATGCATTATATTATATACGTATATAGAAAGGTAGTTAATCAAGAATGAAATCTTTTTATACATATAGTCACTAATATTATTTTTGGTATGCTATTCGTTATTATCATCTTCATTGGCTGGTTGGTTTTGTAACACCATTATTTTCTTTTTCACTTTGCAGGTATGAATCTGAACTCATAAAAGACATCGTCAAGGAAATATTAAATAAAATTAATACTTCAGCTTCGGTAAATATCAAGAATTTGGTAGGAATAAATTCACGTTTGGGGAGTATAAGGAATCTTATAGGTACTGAACCTGATGTTCGAATGATTGGCATCTTTGGAATGGCAGGGATAGGAAAAACAACTATTGCAAGAGCTATTTATATGTCGATTTCTAGTGAATTTGAAGGTAATTGTTTTCTTGCTAATGTTGGCGAAATTTCAGACAAATATGATGGTTTGGTTTCTTTACAAAGGCAACTTCTTTGCCAAATTCTAAGGGAAAAGGAAAGAAAAATAANCTTGAAAGATTGAAGGAAATTTGAGAGAGTTTAGAGGAATGAAGGAGGCGGTGGAACTGGAAAAATGAAGAACTTTCAAAGGCTAAACCCTTTTTAATACCTCTTAATACTCATTCTTCCCATTTTGCCCTTGCTCTTTTATGGAAATTCCATCCATATCCTTTGATTCCTTACTAACACACCCCCATACTAACATATTCTCCTTGAAATTTCCTTACAATTTACTCCCCACTTTTCCTGCTAATTAGGGGTAGAATGGTCAAATTGTCCTTAGTGAAGAGAATATCTAAAACTTAGTAAACATTTTGGTCGGACTGTCGCCGCGGTGAGGAAACTTCTGTCGCCGCGGCGAAACTGTCCAGAATGTTTCCCTTAGCTTCCACACCTCTTCGCCGCGGCGAAGATTCTTCTTCGCCCCGGCGAAGCTTGGTATTCTACACTTCTTCTATTTTTTTAACAAAATTCAGGGCAAGTACTCGACATACCAAACAATATTACCTAGAAACCAACTCAAAAAAAAGAGCAAAAGAAGAAACAATAACTACATACCTCAAGTGGGGCGTTACACTCATCCAGATTAAATCCCAAAGAAGATTTTCTTGTTCAGTAAGAGATTCCCCTAGGCCTACCCAAGTTAAAACAAATATTCAGCGAATAGATAATTCCTCAACAATACCACAATCTTATTATTCAATTCAAACACCTTTCCAACAAGATGGGGAAGAGACATTATAAAGAATGTCTCCAACCTATTCCTAAATAACAGATTTGCCAGAATTAAACATGATTGAAAAATTTGAAATATATAAAATCTTCTTAAGAAAGGATTTTTATTTGAAAGAAAATCAAGAATTAAGGGAAAAATTCTTTAAAACCTTTAATAAAAAAGAAAGGGATGCATGCATTATATTATATACGTATATTGAAAGGTACTTAATCAAGAATGAAATCTTTTTATACATATAGTCACTAATATTATTTTTGGTATGCTATTCGTTATTATCATCTTCATTGGCTGGTTGGTTTTGTAACACCATTATTTTCTTTTTCACTTTACAGGTATGAATCTGAACTCATAAAAGACATCGTCAAGGAAATATTAAATAAAATTAATACTTCAGCTTCGGTAAATATCAAGAATTTGGTAGGAATAAATTCACGTTTGGGGAGTATAAGGAATCTTATAGGTACTGAACCTGATGTTCGAATGATTGGCATCTTTGGAATGGCAGGGATAGGAAAAACAACTATTGCAAGAGCTGTTTATATGTCGATTTCCAGTGAATTTGAAGGTAATTGTTTTCTTGCTAATGTTGGCGAAATTTCAGACAAATATGATGGTTTGGTTTCTTTACAAAGGCAACTTCTTTGCCAAATTCTAAGGGAAAAGGAAAGAAAAATAAGCATATGGGATATCGACATGGGAATTTGTGAGATTAAAAACAGGCTGCAACATAGAAAAGTTCTTGTTGTTATCGATGATGTGACTCATATAAACCAGTTAGAATTTCTAGCGGGAGAATCTACTTGGTTTGGTTTAGGTAGTAGAATCATAATAACAACGAGAAATAAACATTTGTTGAAAATACAACGTGTGAATGAGACGTATGAAGCTGAGGAACTAAATCATGATGAAGCTGTTCAACTTCTCAGCTTGAAAGCCTTCAAAGACCATCAACCTTCAGAAGGCTACCAAGAGCTGTCCAATCGTGTTGTAAGCTATGCTAGTGGTAATCCATTAGCTCTCGAAGTTTTGGGTTCTTTTTTGTTTGGAAGAACTATGGATGAATGGAAAGATGCTCTAAAAAGATTGAGCAAAGATTCTAACAAGGAGATTTTGGATAGACTACAAATAAGTTTTAATGGACTAGAAGAATCTGAGAAAAAGATATTTCTTGATATTGCGTGTTTCTTTAAAGGTCATGATAGAGATTATGTGACAAGAATACTAGATGGCTCTGGTTTCTATCCAATTATTGGCATAAACTGTCTCATTGAGAAATGTCTCATAACTGTTTCAACAAACAATCAATTGTGGATGCATGATTTGTTACAAGAAATGGGTCGACAAATTGTTAAGAAAGAATGTCCTAATGAACCTGGACAACGAAGTCGACTGTGGGAGGAAGCCGACATTCGTCATGTGTTGACTAAAAATACAGTAAGCAATTTACTGGGAATAATTATTTTTTCTTAATTCAACATATATTTATCCATTTATTTATTTATTTATATACTTCAATTAACATCATCAAGTTCACTTAATTTTTTAGGGATCTGAACGAGTTGAAGGCATCATGGTTGACAAAGAATTAAATTTGAGTGCAAGTGCTAAAGCTTTTTCAAATATGATTAATCTAAGATTACTCAAAATCCACAATGTGCAACTTCCTGAAGGTATAGAGTACCTTTCCCATAAGTTGCTCATACTGGAATGGCATGGATATCCTTTGAAATCCTTGTTACTACCAAATTTGCAATTTGATGAAATTATTGAACTTGACATGAGCAATAGCAGCATCGAGCACCTATGGGAGGGAAGCCAAGTAAGATTATTCATCAGTAACACATTTATTTATTTGTTTTCTCTAATTTTTTGGTGAATTCTTTATCAATGATCATTGACGTTTATTCATCCTTGGATTCATGTGCTTACTAAATATAAGAAAAACAAACCTTTGTCTTGTTGTGCCTCAATTTTGTCAATAAAATTTGGAAAAATTGAAATCCATCAATTTGAGAGATTGTTCATATATTGACACAAACCTCTTTCTTTTTATGCCTCTATTTTGTCTACAGAATTTGGAAAAATTGAACTCCATCAATTTGAGGAATTGTCGAAAATTGACCAAAACTCCAGACTTCATAGGAATCTCAAATCTTGAGAAGGTGATTCTTGAAGGATGCATAATGTTACGAGAGATTCACCCATCTTTGTTTGTTCACAAAAACATCATTGTTTTGAGCTTGAGAAATTGTATAAATCTTACTTTTCCAAGCAAGATTTATATGGAATCCCTTCAACTTCTGGATCTCTCTGGCTGCTTCCAACTTCAAAGTTCAGAAGAAGAAAGTTTAGAGAGGAAATTTAACATAGGGAGAGATGCAACAAGAAAACTTAAAATTATGAAATCGCCCCTTCTTATTGTAGAGATTCTTAAAAATCTTTTTTCTCATGGATACAGAGGACCATCACTAAGCAGACAAAATCCCAGATGGTATTCACGGCTAATTGCTGGTTGGATGCCAAGAAGAAGTTCAAACGCGCTTAATTGTCGGCTGCCTTCTTTGCTAGGTTGTCATTCTTTAACGGATTTGAATCTCAGTGACTGTAATTTGAGGGAAGACGCATTGCCCAAGAAATTTTGGGACTTACGGGGACTAAGGAGTTTAGATTTAAGCAGAAACAATTTTGTCTCACTACCTGAAAGCATAAGTCGTCTTTCAATGATCGACACTTTTTCATTGGAGGGCTGCAAGAACCTTCAATCTCTTCCAGAAGTTCCGTTCATGACGTCGTTTCTTAAAGTAAGTGGTTGTGTTTCACTAGATATTTCGTCAGTTCAAAAAAGATTTTGGGGGTTGTTCACAAACTTGGTTTGTGTTTTTGCTGTGAATTGCCCAAACTTGCACCGCTGCACCAGAGCTACGGCATTTTCAGTTCTGAAAGATTACCTTGTACTCTACATCAGTTTCCATCGCTCCCGCAATCCTAATTTTTCAATTACACCATACCGGAGAAGGTTATTTCATGTCGCAGCTCCTGGAAACGAAATTCCGGAGTCTTTCCATCAGAAAGAGGGTTCTTCAATAATAATACATAGGCATCCTGATGTGTATAACAATAGTAAGTTGGTCGGATATGTTATGTGCTGTGTTTTTGTTGTCAATAAACATCCACCTTGGGAAGACGATTGCATCCCGTTGAGTTACGGTGACAGACATCGGATTCGCTTCTACTCATCTTCTGTTGACAAACATATTTGTGAAGTTGTTCCTGCTGTTTCATTTGAAGCTGAGAAATCTGGCCAGGCTATGTCAGATCAGACTTGGTTAATATTCTTTTCTCGGAGAGAATGCAAGGAAATATGTAACCCCATTAAGGGTTCATTTAGAGTGGTGAGGGGAGCTGGATTAGAGGTGAAGAGGTGTGGAGCTCGTCCGATATATGAAAAAGAAGTGGAAGATCTATTCAATGAGTCCAGTAACTCAGCTTTCTCGAATTTAAATATATTCCCTTATGAAGATTTTGTTGAATCAACCATGGATAATCAATCAGAATCCACAGACCTAGAGCGCAGTGTAAGTTCCAGCTGTGACCTGGAAACAAGAGCTGCTGCTATCGACGATTTATTTGGTCATCTGAATCAACCGGTAGGTCTGCTTCTTTCGACTTTCTGTCTTTTTCTTCGCCAACCGTACTACAAACAAATGTATTTACTTATGAAAAATTATTGATTTTTGAATATTTATTAACTATTGGTGCACAGATATTTGTTCAACTTAATGTTCATACATATGGGAATCTTGGTGCTTTTGATTTATATGATAATTTTTGTTGTTTAATGTTCAATAGGCGTCGGAGCTAAAAGATTTTGTTGGTAGATCAACAACAGATGTAATTGTCAACATTAACCAAAGCATTGTTAGAAATAAAGAGGCCGAATCTAGTGCAAGTAACCGCTGTGAGGAGGAAACAAAATTTGCTGTCAACAAGTTTCTCAATACATTGGTAAGTCCATCCGGATCTTAATTCCCATTACACTGTGTATGTTTCGGGCAATCTATCTTATTTTCTTGCAGTTACTACATTTGGATGTTAAGTAATAAATTATTACGGTAAACTTTTAATATCAATAGTAGTTATTGTAGGTAAAAACAATGTAAGTAATTCGATTACCGTTTAGGAGGGTGTTCTTTTTCCATTACTGAGGTAATCAACTGTTCATACCAATTTTACTCTTAATTAATTAACATTTTGGACACAAATGCCCTCATATATCTACTAAATAATAATTCATCCAAATGTCTGAAATGACTTCTTTAACCTCATATATTAATTTTTTGGACACAAATACCCTCACTATTTACATAGATAATATCCAAAATACCCTTAGTCACCCAAGACAACTATCGCAGTCATCGAAACAGTGCACGACTGGCTGGATCTGACTGATTGTGCGCCAAATTGTCTGGCCAAATCGAAAGCCGAAAATAGCTAGATGGTCGTGGATTTGGCCATTTTCCGACCAGATCAATGGTTGTAAACGGTCACAGATCCATGTGAAGGAAGCAACCTTATTGACTGCTAAACCAATTCCTTGGGGTTTATATATAATTCTTTTTATAACTACCATTAATACATCCTTGAATCGCTCACGAAGCATAATAAAATTTTTGATAAGACAGTAAATTTGGATGTGTGTATACAGTAATTTTTGTTCTTCAATGCTTAATAGGTGCCGGAGATAAAAGATTTTGTTAGATCGACCACCAAGCGAGGACGTGATGAGGCAGAATCTGGTGAAAATAGTTGTTGTGACAATGACGAACCACAAGCTAAAAGAACTAAAGTAGAAATCTCAATTGTAGGCAAAAGGCCAGGAATTGAATCCTATGGATTTGTTCTCTGAATATATCAGTAAGTTTAAATCTCATTATTCTCTCAATTCCCTCTAGTTAATTTATTTATATCCAGTGAATACTCATTATAGTTTAATTTTTATGTTTTTGTATTTAATGAATACTCATTATAGTTAATTGTAATTTGTACAGGTACGAGCTAGAATCTTATGAGTGTGTGATAAAGTTGGTAAAGATAAAAGACTTCAACTTTTTCTTGTTTCAATAAATCTTGAACAACTAAATTTGTGTTGCGTATGCTTAAAAGTTGATATGTCCGAAGAGATGACATCAAATATTCTATTTGGACATCAACATGTGTGAGTTATTGGATTTATGTTCTTAATTTGCTTGTGTGAATTAATCGGCAGAGATTGATAGAAACTTTATCGTGGAATGTACACTTTTATCTGATTTGATCAATATGTATGAGTTCATGTGATACACTGATATCCCGTATAATTATGGAATTTTATTAAATTTTATTTTATGATTTTTGGGGGTAAAGTGTACAAATTAGAAGCTTTTTGAGGGAGTAGAGTGTAATAGCCGAAACAAGTGAGGACTAAGTAAAATTTTCCAAGATATTTTTGTGAACATTAATCGTTTAAAAGAAGAAAAAGCCCAGAAGAAGAGAGGAAGAGGAGAAAGGATTAATGCAAAAGAGGGGAGAGAAGAGGAAAAGAGAGAAAAGGAGGAGAGAGAGCAGCTTGGCCAAGAGGTGGAGTGAAAGTGAAGTGTTTTAATGGATGAGGAGAAGAAAATTAGATGATCTTGCAAATCCAAGCTCAAGAACCAAAGGAGGCAATGGTAGGAGCTTGATCGGAGTTTGACTGAGCTGTGAGGTGAGTGGACTAGTATTTGTTGGAATGTGAATACTTTTTGGTAATTGATGAAGAAAAGGCAAGCAAGAAGAAAAAAGAATTTAAATTTTAGGCAAATTTCTATTTTAGAAATTTGTAATTGAGAATATTTGTTTTCGTTTACTTTGAGTTGTTGTAGAAAAGAAGAATTGTTTAGGTATCAGCATGGTTCAACCATTATTCAGATTTTGTCACTAGAGATGAAATCTTGGACTCAAACTTTTCTGGCACACTTACCAGAACTTTTTCTACACACTGTCCTCTGGAAGGTCTTCACCCAAGATTTTAATTTCATTCACAAGCTTCATTAGGCTGTCAGAGTATTGCGATATACTCTTCGTTTTAGTCATCCTCTTGTTCTCAAGTTGCCACTTCATTATGATAATCTTTATGTTCCTTGTCTTCTCAGAACATTGATACTTTGTCTTCAACTTCTCCCAAATCTCATTGGCAGTAGTGCAGACAATAATTCTCACAAAAATCACATCAGTCACAGTCAATTGCAAGTACAACAAAGTCTTTACTCTCTTTTTATCTGCTACCTTTTTAATTCCATCTGAGTGATCGTCAGATCCTCCAATTCTTCTTGAAAGTCTCCTCCTGTCTTGGTGACTTCCCACAAATCAGCAGCCTGTAGAAATCCTTGCATCTTCACCTTCCAAATACTTCCAAATATGGTAGAGATCTCCTGTAAATACAGGAATCCGTGACATTAAACTTGACGGAGCCATCTTACTTCATATTTACTCTTCTCTCTCTCTCTCTCTCTCTAACTTAAGAACCTCACCACAAATCCCCTAAGATAACTTTGCTCTGATACCAATTGTTGGACTTGGGAGAGGTACTAGGTTGATAATGTGATGAACACTTGCATCTTACTCATAGAATTATAGTGGACCTCTCTCATCTGTGGATGTGGGCGAGTTCAATGGTATTATACACTCTAGCATTTGTGTTCTAAAAATTATAACGGATCTCTCTCATCCGTTGATGTAGATGAGTTATGCCAAACCACATAAAATATTATGCATTTGTGTGTTGTTATTGTTGTTCTTTATTTTATTTATTTACTCCTTTGATTTTTAACATGGTATCAGAGCTTATATTCTTAAGGGACCTACAGGAGAAAGGGCCTAAGGAAGATGAAGTGAAAATTGTAGGGTGATGGTCTGCAAGAATGTCGGCAACAGGATCAACAAGAGAAAACCATCGAGACTCCAACAAAGAGTGAGGGAAGAAGAGAAGACTCCAACAAAGGGTGGAGGAAGAAAAATAGAGGTAAGGAGGAGTAAGAGAATGAAGAACAAGCTTTGGAGTTCAATATTAAAAAGGCTCAAGGAGGAATGTTGGAATGTGAAAACTTTTTGGTAATTGATGAAGAAAAGGCAAGCAAGAAGAAAAAGAAATTTAAGTTTTAGGCAAATTTCTACTTTAGGAATTTGTAATTGAGAATATTTGTTTTCCTTTACTTCGAGTTGTAGTAGAATGAAGAATTGGTTTAGGATTTTATTTAGAGTTAACATAGGAGAATGAATCAAATTAGAATCCTAGTAGGATTGGAAATATGAATCCTAGTAGAAAAAGAATGTCCTATTCTATCTATAAATATATAAGAGTTAGAATTAATCCAAGGTTATGAGAGAGGGAAGTAAAGAAAGAGAGAATGTGAGGATACAAGAGGTTTTAATTTAAGGGTACCACAGATATCGGGAAAATACCACAGGGTATTAAACACCATACGAACAGGATGTTCGCCTATGTAAAGGTATTATGTTAATGGTGTGATGAACACTTATATCGTACTCATATAATTATAGTAGATCTCTTTCATCTGTGGATGTAGGCGATTTCAATGGTGTTGTACACTCTAGCATTTGTGTTCTTAAAATTATTGTAGATCTCTCTCATCCATGGATATAGGCGAAATATATTGAACCACGTAAAATATTGTGCCTTTCTGTGGTTGATATTATATATTGTTGTGATGGTGTTAAAATTGAGTTTAAAATTACTATATTGTATTCTACTGGGCATGTGCTATGTTTCGAAACTTGGTTGCCTATGTTAGAGTCCCACATCGACTAGACACACTCAAGCCTATTGGGTTATAAGAGGGGGTAATCCTCCCATTCAATAAGGCCTTATTGGGTGAGGAGTCAGGCTCACCTCAAATTCTAACATGGTATCAGGGCCCAAGTTCAATTGAGCTAAGTGCTTAACCAGCGGGTGAGGAGTTAGAGCCAGCAACTACCTCCAATAACAGACATGACCTAACATATGGGCTTGACCGTGAGGGGGAGTGTTGGAGTCCCACATCGACTAGGCACGCTCAAGCCTATTGGGTTATAAGAAGGGGTAATTCTCTTATTCAACAAGGCTTTATTGGGTGAGGAGCCAGGCCCACCTCAAATTATAACAGCTTATGTGGAAAACTTATGGTTATGGGGTTGGGTTATTATGGCCGGAAGCATGAAAGGAAGTGGCCGAAGTGAACATGAAATGGAGGTGAATTATTTTGTTGCATGTTACTCTTATTCATCATTTATTTGGGTTTTCAAATGTCATGTATGCTAGCTGCTTGTTGGTTATATGAGTTGCTTGGGTTATGAAGATATTATATGTATTTTGGAATGAGATATAGGCATGCATTTTGGGTATTTGAAGGTTGTATGCTTCCGCCAATTGTGAACTTTTTGGGGGTGCTTGTATGGACTTTTGTTTACCATGAATTTCTCTTCTTAGAAGACTGTGTTGACAATGTGTTGGTAAAAAGAGAAATCATTGACATTAAGACTGTGTTTATTGAAGTATAGTTATTATGTATAAGAAATTGCATAAAAATCATACTTTGGGTTTGAATGTTCGTGGGTGTGTAGTTGTAAATCTTTTGCATGGCTCGGCTACTTTTGATGTTGTCTATTTCTTGCACTATTTCGACCTTATTAAGTTGATCATGAGTTGCATTTTAACTATTTATATTGTATGTATAATATGTACATAATTGAGTAATGAGAAGAAAGAATGTTGGGTAAAGTAGCTGCGGGAATGTTAAATTATGATGTTGATGTTTGTTAAGGCAAAAATCTGCACTAACCAGAGGTACATGATTGATAGCATTATACCACATAAGATGTTTGTGTAATCCTGATAGATCGGCAATGAAATAGTATGGTGATGGATACGCAGGGAATGAAATACCAAGAACAAAGAGCAGAAAAGCGTTTTAAACTGGTTTGACTGCTCGCAAGGCAAAAACATACGTCCAATGTTATTATCGATTGACGAGCTCTTTACAAAGAGTTTTTAGGTTGACAATTTGTTCATCCTAGGTTTATATAATGTCAATTATATGATTGAGTTGTAGATAGGCTCAAACCCGATAAAAATGAGAAGTGGCATGATCTTTATATTTGATTATAGGAGACATATCACATAATATCTACATGCCAAATAAGGATTTATCAGCTCTAGATTCCCTGCACAACAACTGTCCCCCAGTTTTTGGCAGTCGATTCAGGCTTCAAAAACTACAAGCTTCTTCACCCGAGTCAATGATATGAGGTCTACGTACTTTTGCTGAGCAAATGGGCTTGACTGACGATTGGACCAAGCTCTTAATGACGAGCTCGATTCGTTAGTATAAGTTGCAGACGACAAACCATGACTCCGCGAGGCGTGCCCTTGCTTGGTGTTGAGGAAAAGCAAGTGTTGGTGCTTTGAGGACTGAAGTAACCACAAAATAACCTTTTCACACAGCAATCGAGTCTGCCTTTCCAAAGGTCTACTCTACCGAGGTTGTTGCTATTCCTAACCAGTGGCGGACCCAGGATTTTTGCTCAGGAGGGCCTTTGCAGTTCCGCCATTGTTTGTCAAACAACTAGTGAAAACTTGTAAAAAAATCACCAAAACTTAAGTGAAGGAAATAATACAATATCAATAATCTGAAAGAAAACAATGTAATAACACAATACTTTACTACTTGAATAAATCTATGAGAAGCAAAACCTTGAGTAAATTATGTTGAAAATAACATCCAATTCATGAGGAAACATAAGAAAATTTTTCTATGGAAAAACCTTTTAAACTAAAGAGAGCAAAAAACCACATGAATCTAACGATCCACTTAAATCCAATATAATTAAAAGAGTTTACAACAATCACAATCCACCAAAAATGTTCTACACAAATTTTTAATTTCTCCTCTTTTTTTCTTTTAATTTCCTTTTTTATTTTTGGCTTTCAAAGATTATAATATAAAGTTTTATGACTTTGATCAAGCTTAGCCTAAGCTAAAGTCAATCAAAATGTAAATTAAGTTAATGTTGCCTTGACTTTTAATATGAATTAATAAAAAAAAGGGCAATTTTTTTTAGTATAAACATAGATAATAAACTAAAACTTCTTTAATAATTTTGAGTTGCCAAATGGTGACGTTTGAAATATAGAAAAATGATGGGTGAAGGGTGAAGAATAACATTCAGTAAAATATAGTTAATGTTTAA